GACACAAATAAATATTTTAAATTATAATCATCATTCTAATTTAATTATTAGCAAACTCTAACGTATATTAAATTCTAACAGACTGAGAATTAATGTGTATTTATAGATGTCCACAAATTGCCTATATTTCCCTTGACTCTGCGTGACTGTCGATCTACTTGTAATCATTGTCTGGGGATTTCACACCTAAAACTACGGTTTATATGTTCAGGCCATTACTCTGTAAAATGTGTCCTGTTAATGTATCAGTTACGGACACCATATGTACCATATGTTATAATACTTCTGTGTATCTCATCGATGATAACGTAACTAAACTACCGTCCCCAGTGGCATAGCGGTATGTCTGCGGACTTACAGTGCTAGAAACCGGGTTTCGATATTCGTGGTGGGCAGAGCACAGATAGCCCATTGTGTAGCTTTGTGCTTAACTACAAACAAACAAACGTAACTACCTAACGTTGTTATGAATAACACGATTTGACAAACTAAACATTATAAACGATAAATCATATATTCCGAGTTTGTTCGCGAAAGGAAAAAAAGCATAATTTTTTTTTCACATATATTATGTAAATTAGCCGTAGGGTAAAGCCCTAAAGTTTGAATGAAAAACAAACACGTTTTAATGTGTTTGGTTTGAATGTAAAAAAAAAAAAGTTTGGACCATTTCTGTCATTGAATTTAACAACGTAATTAGATCGAAATTGTGTTGTTGTTTTTGAAATACATACTTCACTAATGATAAAAATGTAGTTTTTTTATATTTTAGTCGTGTTACGTATTAGAATTTCAAATAGCCTGAAACTGAGTTAAATGATACTCTAAATTTAGTAATTAAGTTGTATTTTGAATTTAGCAGTTAAGTAAAAGCCGATATATGGTCAGTTTATGATATTTGCCAACAAGATTGATACACACAGTTTTCTTTTTTTTAACACAAATACGTTTTAATATACACACAACAATACAATTTACAATAGCAGTTATTACAAAAAATGATTTATAAACAAAAGTTTCACAAACTTACAAGCAATATAAAGTCTTCTTTGTAGTCTGGAACTTCTTCGATATCTTATCGGGGGCTCACGATGAGGAGTTGACGTAGGTATAATTCACTTGACAGGGAGCTAGCTAGCTTTGTAATTCGTTACTCGCCAGTCACGTGCGCTGAGTCTTCCACAATGAATTTATATAATGTAAAATACTAATGTCCGATGAGAATCCATTGACGTTAAATGATTTGTAATGTTCGAACTTTATAAATGCTCCTGGTCAAATATCTGAAGTTTTCCGATTGATAAGCGTTATAATAATCACAGTTATGGTTTCCAAAGTTTATAGCACACTCATTATAGTTAACTAATAATAGATAAACTCTTTGGCGCGTCGCGTTGGTTATATTTATAGGCGTATGGGGGCTTTCTAGAAAAATTCAGATTACGTAACAATACAAAGCTACATTTAATCGTTTACGTACATACTATATTGTTGATTCTTACTCTCGAGAATCTT